TTTATAGTTAAAATTCTAGATAATAATTGAATTTTTCTAGTATTATAGCGTGAATTTTTAGAAATAATTGAATTTTGTAAATGTTTCAAATTAAAATCTTTGAAAATCTGAATTTTTCATATTAATAATTCTGTAGAATTCATAATTTTTTCGAAAAAGTTTAATTGATTTTTCTTAAACTTATTTGAAGTTTTTATTTTCTAATATACAATTGAAGAATTTTCAAATAATCGATGAAATTTTGTAAAATTGTATTGTAAACAAACGAATTTAAAAATTCTCAAAGAACTTTTTCAAAAATTATTAAAAATAATAGAATTTAAAAAAGAATTTTAGTTAAAAATTCTAATAAATAGTAATTGAATTGAAATGATGAAAATAATTTTGAACAAATTACTATAAAAATATTCTTATAATAAAAAATAATAATATTCAATATGGAATAATAATAATTTTATCACTCGGTCATCTATAATTATTATAAAACATGAAAAATTATTTTGCATAATTGAATTTTCTAAAGGTTTCAAATTAAAATCTTTGAAAATCTGAATTTTTCATACTAATAATTCTGTAGATTTTTTTTGAAAAAGTTTAATTGATTTTTTTTTGGTAATTATTTGAAGTTTTTATTTTCTAATATACAATTAAAGAATTTTCGAATAATCGATGTAATTTTGTAAAAATTGTATTGTAAACAAATGAATTTCAAAATTCTCAAAGAACTTTTTCGAAAATTATTAAAAATAATAGAATTTAAAGAAGAATATTAGTTTAAAAATTTTTAAAAATAAGAATTGAATTGAAATGATGAAAATAATTTTGAAGACGTTACAGTAACAATATTCTTATAATAAAAAATAATGATTTTATCACTCGGTCATTTTTAATTATTATAAAACATGAAGAAATCGATTACTCCGAGTCGAAAACTCGGAGTGATTGTTTTTTTTTTGTTTTATAAAAAAAAAATTCTTACAAGTTGTTGAATTTCAAAAAGATTTGAATTTGAATCTTTTGAAAAATTTTAATTCCTATGGAATGATAATAACTAAAACCAAGTTTGGACTTAAATCAAAAATATGAATTCCTATCATTAAAATTCCCCACAATGTATCTTTTCTACTCTTTACATTGTGTAAGATTATAATGGAATTAAAATTCTGACACTTTGCTAGAGGTCAGTAGCGCAGGTCTGAGAAACAGTAAAAGTACATATGACTGCATTGCAGAGGCCTGCGGAAGAAATTGCTCCATCTCATCCTCTTAATGAAACTGGAATATGTGAGTTTACCCCGAAACTCCCCTTCTTGATTATGTCATTAACTCCCACGCATGAAACAAATGTCGACGTCTTTCTCGCTATAAGTAACCAGATTCCAATTTGCATGCGCGTGTGAAAAATTTTATGTCTTTTCCGCTCGCGCTCATAACACAAAAACTTATAATATGATCTTATCAGTTAATGTCGTCTTTTGTAATTGCGCTTTCATATGTACACACACACAAATTTATATTTACCTCCGAGGAATATTTATATGTAAATTGATATGTGTACCTTTCTATGTTTTTCATGAAAACAACTGTTAACATATTTCTAAATAGATTCAGTCTTGTGCTAATGAGATGAAACATTAATTTTATGCTTTATGAGGCTTAGAAGTAAATTAATAATTAACGTAAATTTTTCTTTTTGTTTTGAATTTAAATTTTGTAGTTAATATTCTCTTTTGTGTTGGTATTTATCTAGTTTTACGATCTGAATCAGTGGATGTTTCACTCAATGGAAATTAGTAATTTTTCTCATTTTCTGTGAATACGAATTAGGAATTAATTTCTGGCTACTTGAATCTGTCTAAATTTTAATTAGTTAAGAGTTTATTTATTATTATTATAATAGTTTTATTTTATTTTAAAAGATATTTTGTTTACTACTTTGGAGAATTTGCACAACTTTAAATTCATTAAAAGAGTTGAAATAAAAAAATTATTCTCAAAAATTATAATAAAATTCTTAGAAATGATTCAGTTATATTCAAAAATTTTTAGAAATTCAATTATTTTCTATATCTTCTATTTTAATCAAATTTCCCAAAAGAATTCAATTATTTTAAAGAATTTTAATAAAATTCTTTGCAAACATTCAATTACTTTCATGGATAATAAAATTCTTTTCAAAAATTCAATTATTTTCATAAATTATAAAATTTTCACTGGAATTCAATTATTTAAAATACAATTTTTAGTAAATTTAAAAAAAATTAATTATTTAAAATAATTTTTATAAAATTCTTCGCGGGAATTCAATTATTTTCAAGAATTATAAAATTTTTACCGAAATTCAATTAGTAAAAATACAATTTTCAATAAATTGAAAAAAATCAATTATTTTAAGTAATTTTTATAAAATTCTTCAGGAGAATTCAATTATTTTCACAAATTTCAATACAATTCTTCGCAGAAATTTAATTATTTCAAAATACGTTAATAAAATTATTCTACATAAGAATTGAATTACTTTCCATAAAATTTTAATTAAAAATCGTCGAAAAAAGTGTTAAAAATTCAATTATCCTCATAAACAATTAAAATTCATCGCTGGAATTCAATTATTTTCAAAAATAATAAAATATTTTTGATAAATTCAATTATTTTGAAATTTGAATATAATTTTAATAAAATTCGTCATCACGGAATTTTAATTATGTTCAAAAATTTTTAAAATACTTGTCAAAATTTCAATAATCTTTACAAATAGTAAAATTTTTCTCCAAAAATCAATTATTTTCAAAAATGTTAATAAACTTCTTGGCAAAATTTCAATTATTTTCAAAAATTTTTCTCAAATAAATGATTTTCAATATCCTACTATTTTAATCAAATTTTCCAAAAGAATTCAATTGTTTAAAATAAATTCTTTAAAAATTCTAAGCAAATATTTAATTATTTTCATAAATAATAAAAATTGTACAGGAATTCAATTATTTACAAAGTATTTGTAAATATCTATTATTCAATTATTTTCGTAAATAATAAAATTATAAACTTTCTCGAAAGAATACAATAAATTTTAATAAATGTTAATAAAAGTGTTCACTGAAATTCAATTATTTTTAAAGATTTTAATAAAATTCTTCGAAAGAATTCAATTATTTTTTTAAATTTTGATAAAATTCTCTATAAGAATTCAATTATTTTTAATGCAATTTTAATTAAATTCTTCAAAGAAAATAAATTACTCTAATGCATAATAAAATTCTTCTCAAGGAATTCAATTGTTTTCAATATAATTTTAATAAAATTTTCAAAAAATTCAATTATTTTCGAAATTTTAAATAAAATTCTTCATTAGAATTCAATTATTTCAAATTCTTAGCAAAATTTAAATTATTTTCAAAAATTTTTCTTAATTCAATGATTTTTAATATCTACCTTTTTAATAAAATTTTCCAAAAAAATTCAATTATTTAAAAAAAAATTGTACGAAATTCTTTACAAACATTCAATTACTTTCATAGATAATAAAATTCTTTTCAAAAATTCAATTATTTTCATAAATAATAAAATTTTTACTGAAATTCAATTATTTAAAATATAATTTTCAGTAAATTAAAAAAAAAACTATTAGATAAAACAATTTTTATAAAATTCTTCGCGGGAATTCAATTATTTTCAAAAATTATAAAATTTTTACTGGAATTCAATTATTTAAAATACAATTTTCAATAAATTGAAAAAAATCAATTATTTAAACTAATTTTTGATAAAATTCTTCGCGTGAATTCAATTATTTTCACAATTATTATCAACCCTATTGATAGTTATAAAAACTTTTTTTTTAAAATTTCAATAAAAACTAATTATTTTTTGCCTTTTTTCGAAATATAATTTTTCAAAAACACGTATTTTAAAACAATTTTTAAATAGTAATAAAATTGAATTCTTTCAAATAAAAAATTTATTTTAATGAAATTTGACAAAACTTTTATATTAATAATATTTTTGTAATTAATCCAATTAGTGAAATTTGACTATTTCCATAGTTATTTATTTACTAGTAATTATTTCCTATTTATATCGATTTTTAGAAATATTATTTTAAATTTAGAAATATTAACTATTATTATTATTCATTATTATTATTTTCAACTAATTGCTGAAGCAAAAAGTTAGAGAACATTTTACTAACAATTAGTTAGTTTTTACTAATTTAGTTTCAGAGAGATATCAATAGTGAATTTTTACTGATTTGAAGTGAAATAATTACTGAAAGTAAAAATTTCTCACTAACTTTAGAATAACCTAATCCTAATTAATAAAACAATAAACAACTAACAATAAACTAAATTGGAACAGAAAAAAATTATAATATAATTTATAATTATAATTACACTTAAAAAATAATTTATTTCATTCAAATAACCGATTATTTGACTATTATCAATTAAATATTTACTCGAACCAAATAATATTTATTGGAGTCAAATGATATTTTAACCAATAATTTCAGTATTTGAAGCAAAATAAGAATTGAACCATTTAATAAATATTATTATTAAATCCAATAAATATTTTTTGATTCAATTAAATATTTAATTAATATAATAGTCAATTAAAATCGATTATTTGAATCAAATAAATTTTTTGTTCAGTGTATAAAAAATTAATTAAAAATATCGTTAAGTGTTGCATAAATGTTACCATATTCGATGTAGTACGTGTGACACAATTAGCAAAGTGTCTGTTTGGCAAGTTTCCAAAATAATAATTCTCGAAACTCAAAACTGAAAAGGGTACAACTTTCACTTCTTTTTCTTTTTTAGGGAACATTTATAGAGAAAATATTATTCTTGAAAATGTACATTATTTTCAAAAGAAGAAATAAAAGAGTAAAAAGAATAAGAAATAAAATAAAATAAAAGAGTAAAAAGAAGAAGTAAAATTTACAGTTTATATAATAGAATTGAAAATAAATGTATTTTTGATTGTTTGTGTTGCAGAGGGCGAATTCCCTCCCGGTACGGACACACACGCCAACGTCTGAAAATCGAGTTAATTTGCGTAGAAGCGTAAGGGGCGAACCACCCCCTCATCCGGCTCGACTTCGAAAACATCCTCATGGCTGGACTCTTCATTTCGCCCGTCCCCTCACCGGCCCCTCTGGTTGCACCAGATCCATTGTCCTCTTACTCATCGTGATATTAGCTCTTCTTGGAATTGGAGGAATCGCTCTCTACATAGTGTTCGGTGAGTTCAATCAATTATTCATTGTAACAAATTTGTCAAATTTATCAACAAATTATATTTTTCATTAAAAAATTCTGGGAAAATTTCAAAATATTTTTCCTTTTTTTTATGTGATGGACTATATAGAATTTTAATTGTAAATAAATTATATATTACGTGCACTGTAAAAAGAAAGGTACTAATTCAGTACCAATTTTGGTACTAAATCGTCATTTGGTTCTATTTTTAGAAAAAAGCTCGAATTTAGAACCTTTTATTTACAGTGTGATATTCAATTTTTTATTATTATTATGCAAATTACAAAATTTTTTATTTTCAAATATGCATTTTTGAATAATTACAGATTCAAACTTTAGAAAAACATCAGTTATTAACTAATTTACTAATTAATTCTTCTTGTTTATTAATTTCAAAAAAAAAAACTTGAAAGAAATTGTTCATAAAATTGAGTTATTTAACCAATTTTTAAAGAAACTCTGTATTATTAAAAAAAAATACAAAGAAATTCTTCAAAGAGAATTTAATTACAATTATCAAAAATTTTAACATAATTATTTACGAGAATTCAATTGTTTTTCTAAATAAAAAAAATCTTCGAAAGAATTCTATTATACAATTATTTTTAAAAATATTAATTAAATTCGATTATTTTCAAGAAATTTAATATAAATTCAATTATTTTTGACAATTTTGATGAAATTCTTTTTAAAAAATCACTATTTTCAAAATTTTTAATATAATTCCTTCAAAAAATTCAATTTTTTTCTCAATACAATTTTAATAAAATTTCTCGAAAGAATACAATATTACTTTTAAAAATATTATTGAAATTCAATTATTTTCAAGAGTTTTAATAAAAATTCAATTATTTTTAACAATTCTGATAAAATTCTTCGAAACAATTCAATTACTTTTATAAATTGTAACATTCTAGGCAAGAATTAAATTATTTTTGTAAATAATAAAATTCTTCTGAGAAATTAAATTTCAATAAAATTTCTCTAACAGGTTCAATTATATTTAAAAATTGTATAATAACATTTTTCTAAACAATTTAATTGTTGTTCTCAAAAGTTTTGAATAAAATTCTTTGCAAATTTCAATTATTTTCAAAATTTTCAATTAAAATTGTTTTAAAAAATTTCATTATTTTTAAGAACTTCAATGAAATTAAAAAAAAAGAATTATTTACAAAAACTCTAGTAAAATTGTTTAAAAGAATTTAATATTCTATAAATACTTTTATAATATAATTTAATAGGAAAATTAATAATTACAATTAATAATAAACACGATTATTTTAAAAACTTAAAAGAAAACCTTTATAAAATTCAATTATTACTTTCAAAATGTTCAGTAAAAATTATTTTTAAAATTTATTTAGAGCAAATATAATTTATTTGAACCAAACAGAATTTATTTAAACGAAATGAAATTGATTTGAAACAAATATTTATTTGCCTCTGAGAATATTAAACCATTCCTCCGATGGGTGTATATTTGAAATCTATAATTTAAATCTATTTGAAAAATTACCTCTTTCTCACCACTAAATGGTTCTTAATTTATAAACTTATTGAAGCTCAATTATAGTTGATTACTCAATACACAGTCTTTCTCTCTCTCTCTCTCTCTCGTGCTCCATTTTGTAATAGAAGAAAAAGGTTAATCTCCATTTTAGCAAATTAATTTCATTTTAATGCGCAATTTCTCCATTTTTTACACTACATAATAATACCAAGAGGATTTTCACTCTATTTAAATTATAAATCCGACAAAATATAATTTTCTCATTTTCTGTATTTTTCCTTTGTTGAAAATAATCTAAATTAAATAATCTAAATGATGAAAGAAAAAAATAATTTAAAAAAAACTGTTCTAAATTGAATGGGGGTTAGTTGCTGTTTGCTATTTTGTTTCCCAACTTTTTTAATAATTTTTATTTTTAAATATTTTGAATTTTAAAATTAATCCTATTGAAAATCATCGAATTGTTGCAAAGAATTTTATCAAAAAATTTAATTATATATATTCTTTCAAAAAAAATGTTATTACAATATTGTATTGAAAATAATTAAATTGATCATAAAAAATATTATTATTTATGAGAATAATGCAAAGCAAATATATTGACGCAAGTATTTAGAAAATAGAAACAACAAAATCAGAGGAAATGTCACATAAATTTCCCCCATTTTTTATGACAATTTAAAATTTTTCCTCACAAGAAAGAATATAAAAAAAAATTTATTATTTTCTTCCCAATTCCCTTCTATATTCCCTTCTTACGGTATATAAACATTATAAAAGTCGGTGCGTAATTACATTCGTTTTTTTACGTACATACACATTTATTTTTACCCATATTACCACACTTGCGCCATAGCCTTGATTTGGGTTATAATTCAATATTGAAAGTAACTGACACACTGTATAAATTCTTATGCACATTTGATATACCTACGTTTTGAGTATTGTAGCGAGAGTAATAAAAAAACGAAGCCTTCAATACGCTCGACTAAACATTTCTCTCCGTAGGATCAGTCTCGGGTCACGTGGAGTATTTATAAGCCTGATCTCATGTCAGAAGAAAATGCTACTAGAATTGTAAATCATGACATTTGGGATCATATAAAACCAATTTTGAAATACGATTAATTAAAACAAGGACTTGTCTCATTTGAAATGAAAAAAAAGAGCGCGCGCGCGCGGGGGAAAAAACAGAGGATGTGTGTTTGTTTATAGTGAAATATAAATACCGACAATTTTTCTACGCATAATAAAATTTCGAGTTAATTAATGAGAGGATAAATTTTATTTTTTTATTCTAATTAAGATTATAATTATAAAAATAATAAATAATAAATAATTTATATTTAGAAACATGACGGGAATAATAAATGACAAATAATAAGTAACAAATAATGAATAACAAGTAAATAATAATAATAATAAATTCATCAATTAGGATAATAATAATAAAAACTTCTTTTATTACTTTTCTATCGTATTTTAGAAATTTTCGACTTACAATTAGAGAATATCGAATAGTAGTTTTGTCCGTTGTTGTAAAATTTAATTTGCGGCGCTCATTTCGTTAAACGTAAAAAAATAAATAAGTTATAGAAAACTTTCACTTTTTTTCTCTGAAAAATTGAGTGAATATTTAAAATTTAGGGAAATTTCTAAAGTATTTTAGAAAACGAATTTTCGCGTGCTACATTATATTGCTAGAATCAAGATTTTATAAATCGAATCTCGACTTTGAATGCTACTACTAGACTTGTAAATCACGACATTTAGGGGCATGAGAATGTATCCGCGGTTCGATCTTGCGGTCATGTGCAAGTCGTTGATTTATAATCTGCCGTGAAATCGTTGCGCACCCGACTTTCAACGATGATTTGCGTTTGATATATAGTATGCCGACTATTTCTCCTGGCAAAACTTGAATATTATCATTATTATTATTATTTCTATTTTTATTATTTTTATCATTAGTACTATTATTATTTTTATCATTACAACTATTATTATTTTTATCATTACAACTATTATTATTTTTATCATTAGAACTATTATTATTTTTATCACTATTAGTACTATTATTATTTTTATCATTAGAAGTATTATTACTACAATTATTAATACTATTATTATTATTATTATTTCTCTTAATATTTTCTATTCTAAAGATAATCACGAATTATAATTAGTTGTAAATCAAATAAATTATTCTTAATATTCTTTTCATTTTTAGCAAAAATAAAAACGTAAAGGTTGTTTCTTCTTTTTTGACATACATACTAATTTTCAATTTTCGTTCAAAATATTAATCATATTAAGGAATTAATGAATTATATTAATTAATCATTAATCGTTCTCAATTAAGAATTAATTTTAAATATAATTGTATTTTTCAACAATTGTAACTTAAAATTTATAAAATAATTGAATTTTGCAAAAATTATTCTCGTATAGTTGAATTCTTGCAAAGGATTTTATTTAAAGTTTTATAAACAATTGAATTTTCATGGAAAATTTTATTATTCATCCGAAAATAATTGAATTTTTTATGAAGAATTTTATTCAATTTTTTTTTACATAATTTAATTCTAGTTCAATTATTTGGGGAAAATAAATGAATTCTTGTGAAGAAATTTATTAAAATTTTTAAAATTAATTCAATTCTTAAGAAGTATTTTATTATTTATGAAAATAACTGAATTATTGCGAGGAATTTTATTCAAATTTTTATAAATAAATAAATTTACATGAAACAATTTATTGCGTGTGAAAATAATTGAATTCTTGCAAAGAGTTTTATGAAAAGTTTTTAAAAAATTGAATTCTTGGACAAGAATTTTATTAATTATAAAAATTATTGAATTCTTGCGAAGAATTTTATTCAATTTTTTTTAAATAATTAAATTCTCTTTGAAAAATTTCAATAATTCAGGAAAATAATTGAATTCTTGTGGAGAATTTTATTTAATTTTTTTTCATAATTGAATCCTCGAGAAAAATTTTAGTATTTGGAGAAATAATTGAATTCTTGTAAAGAAATTTATTGAATTTTTCTTTTAAAATAATTGAATTCTCGTGAAAAATTTTATTATTTGGGAAAATAATTGACTTCTTTTAATGAATATTATTAAACTAGTAGATATTAAAAATCATTGAATTAATGGAAAAATTTAGAAAATGATTGAGATTTTGCTAAGAATGTTATTTAAATTTTTTTAAATAATTGAATTCCTGCAAAAACTTTTATTGTCTATAAAAATAATTGAATTTTTTTAAAGAATTTTATCAAAATTGTTCAATATAAATAATTCTTATGAAGAATTTTAACAAAAATTTTGAAAATACTTTAATTCTATAAAAATTTTATTAAAATTCTATATTGAAAATAATTAAATTCTTGCGAAGAAAAAATATTAAAAAAATAGAAAAAAATTATTTGAAAATCATTAAATTTCATTTCAACTCTCAAAACC